TATTTTGAAAATTGATTTTTACTGTTCAATGTTAAAGTTAAAACATTAAATGAATAATTGTTTCAGTGCTAGATAAAAGAATTAAATTAAAAATGAATAACAACATGAATTACCCTTTAACTACACATGCATAAGTTGTGCAATATCATTTATTGTATATAAATAATTATTTTTTAATAAATCCTTTATATTGAAGATTTAATGTATAGATGAACAAAGTGAAGAACAATGACGACTTTTTTAACCAAACTATATTTTTGTTCATTAATTTATTTATTTATAAAATTGATAATGATAATTATAATTTTTAGGACAAGTTCAGCTTTGGCTCAGTTGTATGGAACTAAAGCAACCCTAGAGCACCATCATTTCAACCACGCCGTAATGATTTTAAATAGTGAGGTAAAGTTTTAATACAGAATAACCTAAAATATATGAAATGATGTGAAAAATAAAAAATAGAAAAATCTTATTTCCAAGAAAATACATTTTACTTTATTGTTTCGAGATTGTTCAATACTTAACCCAAAATATAATCTAATTTCAAAAACATTATAAATGCAATATGCCATTTTTCATTCTTTGTGTCATCCAGGGCCATAATATTTTTGGAAATTTTAATTCTGAAGAATACAGCGAAGTAATTAAATTACTGAAAGAGGCCATCTTGGCGACCGATCTCTCTCGACACATTCAGTAAGTCGTTATTTAAATCATTAAATTGATATAAAATGAGGATTTAGAAAAATGACGTTTTTGAACATATAACATTTATGAAGCTTCAATAAGAATTCACATAATGTGCAGACATACATATTTCAGTCAAAATACGATTCAATGGAAAGGTTATTTTTGCTAACAAGGTCATCAAAATGACCATAAATTTACTTAATTTATGCTACTTTAAATGAGGTTGTTGAAGTCCTTTAAACGTAAGCTTTTCTGAAAGAACCCTCAGAAGTAATTTCGTTTGTCACAATATAATTGTTAGTTTAGCTGTCCCTTATTGTATATAAATACCTAGTAACAAGGACCAAATATGAAACAGATGGACAGAGACTCTGTGGTATCTATAATTTCAATTTAACTGGGATATATCAAATCGACATATGAATGGAAGTAACTATTGTTAATTGACAAAACGTCATCAATATCAATATATCTGAATGACGAGTAGAGGGCTTTAGGGTTTTTTTTTGTTTGGAAGTTTCTGAATACATTCTATTTTTTAAAAAAAAAATAAGAAGACAGCGCGGATAATAAAGGAGTCCTATTTTTGAAAATGAAATAGACGAGTGAAATTAAACAAAGTATTAGCTACTTTTTTTAAGAAAGAAGAAAGTTACTTTAAAGGCAACCCATTTCAAAATTTATTATTAGAGTGATTTGTATTAAAATTTAGATATTTAAAAAGATGAGATTCAAATGTTAATTTACGACTAATGAAAATTGGAAGGTAAAATACAATACATTAGTAATCATTGTATTGGGTATTGGGTCATCAGTATGAGAGTATCTGTTCCCTATTCCCATCATACATTTTATCACTGGAGAGAAAAATCCCAATATAAATGTAAAATCTTTCAAATTGCTTCTGTGTATATGAGGAATTTTTAAAACAAAACTATTCTCAATCTCTAGTTTCCTATTAAGTTTATTGCATGTTTGTTTTATGTTTACTCTACTGATCGAAAACATTTTTATGACTTTGCTTTTGACATTTAAGTATATATTTACGACGTTTTATCAATTAAAGTCTGTGTTAATTTTCATTCATACGGTGAATGATTTGAAATTTCGAAATGAAATACAAGAACACAGGTACTGACACATTTGTTTTATATTTGGATGTTCTACTAGATATAGAAATTTGTGGTAAACTAACATCTTAAGTTAAGGATAAGTATAATGACTTTAACTTTTCTAATGTCATCTTCCTTTATTAAGGTAACAAAATACCAATGCCACTTGCATAAGTATGATTTTTATTTCTTCCAGATGTTGAGAATTTGCAAGAGCAACATTTAATAATCCATTTTCAATATCTAAACCGAGAGAGGCTACTAAAATAAGTTAAAATTAATGAGGTATAAAAAATCCTAAATCTCCTTTTAAGTTAACATATCTACAGTCTTTTGTTGTTATGATGAACTTGTTAGCACATGCAACTTGTTGTTTGCTCGAATGTTGACTGACGTTTTCCATGCTAATTGATAGGGCCGTTTTCGTACTCTTTGTATACAAATTATATAACCAATTAAAACAAAGACTTAAAGACAAGAGATATTTTGGACATGGAATGCTCCCTCATTTCACCTCAAGTATTTGCAGGGGTCTACGTTTGTCCTGCTTTCTCATTATTTAATCTTTACATTTATATTTTTGCATGTCTTAATGAAACAGTTCAAAAGCACCATTTCGTTTGACAGAGTGAGGAACAAATTTTTCGCTATGGTCGACTCAGGAATGAAAAACTGGGATGACAGAGAGTCACGTGACATATTACGTAGTATTCTAATGACAACATGTGATGTTGCAGCCATTACAAAACCCTGGGAAATCCAGCGAAAAGTACATACATTTCATTTGATAAGAAATCTATAATTAAATTATATTTAGAATAAAATTTCTCTTTTAAAAGGTAAATAGGAAAGAAATAATGACCAAAAATTAAAATATATATGAGTAAAAAAGGTGGATATGTATTTATAAATCGTCTTTAGAAACAATATATGCATGTCGACTTATATAAAAATACACAAGAATGTACGGAAAAATAAAACTAAAGATTTTTAAAGGAGGGGATAAACACTGCAGGCAGAGTGAATGGAATTACGATATGTCCTTCATTTGATTGAAAATTAATATTATATTCTGTATTTTGATGAAAATTGTAAAATAATATCCTACCGATATGATGAATTCCTTGAATTACCAATTTGTCAAAGATTGTGTTGACGCGTAATTTATTAGCTATCTTACACTGTTCCTAGGTCGCTGATCTCGTGATGACTGAATTCTTTGATCAAGGTGACAAGGAAAGAAACGAACTGAAGATACAACCACAGGTAATGATGCCTCTTCAGATAAGATCCAGTTTTGAGATAATTATGTAGAAAAAAAATTGACTGGGGTAACCTTTCCCTTTTTCAAGATAGAGAATTTTTTTAAGAATAATAAAACTAAAAAAAATATTTTAAAAAGATACATATTGTCTTGGCTTTCTTACTCTATTTAACAGTTTATGCAATATTTTTAACAGTGTACATATTTTTAAATAAATATTTAAGTCCGTCGGACGGGACGTTAAATGATGCCCCGTTTCAAGGATAACAACCCCTTTGGCACGTAAAAGATCGTTTCTCTGGAGTTCGAAAAAGAGTAGGCTCACTGGGGGCTGCCAGAGAAACCAAAAACTTTCAGAAACCGATTTAAAGTAATGGTCCGCCGAAACATGGCTGAAAAATTGCCGACTCGGCGTTAAACAATATTCAATCAATTAATCAATCTACGTTTACGTTTCACGTTCAATAAATTTTAAATAAAAATGCTATATTATTTTCATCAGGCGTGTATGGATAGAGAGAAGCAAGACGAGCTTCCAAAATTACAACTGAGCTGGATAGATGGAATTTGTCTTCCTTTGTACAAGGTAAAATAAATCCAATTTTGATACCATCAAATTATTCCAGAATTTTTTAATCTAACATTTTTGAATAACACGTTTCTACAATATCATTTCGTGAAATCTGAAAAGCAATTATTTTAAAAAAAATCATTCTCCTTCTAATATGAATTCATCGATCTATTGAAAGGTTTACTTTTAAGAAATTATGGGCTACATTTTCTCACTCATGATTTTTGCCAAAGCCTGTCGACTCTTATGTTCTCTAGTTTTTTATCTGTAAAATCCTTCGATTTAATGGCGTATACATGTTTATTAAGTTAATTATTTAAATTTTGACAGGCATTGTCAAACCTCGATTCCTCCTTTAAACCTCTGTATGATGCCGTACTCAACAACAGATCCTGCTGGGAAGTCCTAGATGCAGAAAGACTGGCAAAGGATGCTGCCATGCACACTGAAGTTTAAAATGTCACCGAAGTGTTCCGAAAAATATAACGCCATATTGGTTCAAAATGTAATTTACATAATATCACTTTACCGCACAAAACGAAAAGTGCATACTTTAGAATTTAAGTGCAATAAAATGTTCTACGTTTTCCTTAACAATTGTTGAAATAAAACAATGTTTGCTTTATTTTCATACTCAATAAAAATTCAATTGTAAATGTTTACTTTTCTATTTTCATTCCATCATTTGCCTCTTCTTGTGTCATTACTGACAATTTTATTATCCTTGCTAAGGGAAATTTTAATACTTCTAACAACTTCTTTATGGATGGTCATCATAATTTAACAATTAAATATATCGTGGGAAAAAATTGATTGACTTTAAAGATATTATGTAATTATTGCAAAGAATCTTTAATATGATTTATATTTAAACAGGCCATCTTCTTTGGAGAAATTACTGTTTTATTCTTCAAAAGTTATAAATAATAAACAGCAAATGCATTAAAACGATCATTGTTTATATATAGTTTGTGATAAAAATAATTTGCAGGTTTAAATCTTTTCTCAGAGCAAATAATGTCATTTTCTTTTATAAAATTTTAATATTTATTCATCTTTAAATTCATTTATAATTTATTTTTAGTATACATCATAAAATTTTCCTTTATAACGTGTTTGACAGGACGTCCCAATTAAATGTGATCAATGGATTTTTAAAATAATTCCCTAGAAGCACCTCAGTGGACGGATGAATCATTAGGTCATTCATTGTATTTGGTCAAATGAATCAACGGGTTTGATGGATGTTAATTTTATGTTCTAAACTGCTACTGTTAAGTGCTGTTAAATGTCTCTAAATCAATAACGTTCACTCAGAGGAGACGATAGGTGAAAATCATTTTTCATGAAATTTATTGGCAAGTATAGTGCTCTCCATTAAAATGTCAAACAGTGTCGTATTAACTGATCACAAATCATAACATTTACATTATATATGTTTATCAGAGTCCCAATTTTATAGGTCATTCATATTAGAGAAATATTTCACTAACTGTTTTAAAAATAAAAAAAAACTTTCAGTATCCAGAAATAAAAATGGCAATTTACAGCGCTTTTCTTTTCTGTTCCTTTAACCTTTTTCACTGTTCACAGATTATAATTTCTCAATTTTCCAGACAAAAGAAACTTTTAATTAGCTTTGGTTTGATTTCTGGAATCAAAAGATGGGAGTATATACTGCTAGAAAAGCTCTGAGTTGTGGTTCTAGATTGTTTAATTTCAGCTGATATAAACCAAAAAAACTGCTATGTACTTCCAGAAGAGGATCTTGGGCGACCGGAAACAGATGTTTTTTTCTCTTTTAAGGACCCACTTCTTTTCGGTAAGGAGTCGTCCGCAAAAGAAATTTTCTTAGGCTTATCTGTTGTCGCATCGTTTTCCTCTTTCTTTTTCTTCAATGACGACTTTCTGGAATGTGTTTTCTCTCCAGAAAAGAATTTTTGACCATCGGCATCATCTGATTTTGTCAGGTCTTGACGACTTTTAGATCTCCTAGTAGAGAGCTGATTTCGCTCAGCATTTGACTTTGCTCTTGCACACTTTTCTAATGAACCCCTTCTGGCTCTTGGTGACCTTCTCGATTCTGTTCCGACACTGTCATTACTAGGGTTCTTTTCAAAAGTCTGTCTGTCTTTTGATAATTTTCGAATGAATTTTGGTGAAGTTTCAGTTTGTTTTGAATTTTTCTCTTCAGAAGAAGTATTTGACGGGATATGTAATTCTCCCGGACTGTCTCTGTGTTTGGACCTCGGGGTTTCGCCTCTGACGTTAACTGTGGAACCACTTTGTGATGATGGATTGAGACCTTCAAACCTGTGGAGGTCGGATTTTGCTCGATAAATACTTTTCTGATGATTCATGTCAGTAATCGACTTCCGGGGTCGGCGAATGGAGGAAATGTATTCTGGGTCACCGACCCATATTGCATTGTCTCCTCCTTTGAAAGGGCTCTTCCCGCCTTTTCTTGCAGCAATAGGAGCATGCAATTTATTAATAAATGACGCGGCAATAACTGTGGCTCGAAATGTTGATGACTTATTCTGCAGATCATCACTGTCAGATTTGTTGCTAGTCCTTGGTGGACTGCCAGTTTCGTCTAAAAATGTACAAGATATCAAGGGAGTTTGAAAAATAAGTGATTTGGAGTAGGTTGTACAACTGAGAGTCACAATGTTTCTGCATATGAAAGACTGTACATGCACATGCTTAACACATTGAATAATAGTATTTGGAATCTTAATTCAAAGTAGATACATAACGTTTAATCACCTATATTTATTACATGCTGATTATTCATTTAAAAATTGTGAGTGAAACCTAGTAACAATATTTTACAGCTTGTAAGAAGACGGAAGATGCAACAAACTTTATTGAATGAAAACTGTCTATATATAAAGAAATTAGGTCTTAGAACACACAGGCTTTATACGACATGATTTTGAAACCTTTAAAATGATCAGTTGTTAAGGGAATACATAAATATCAAATCATGTTAAATAAAACCGCCACAAGTTAACTACAAGAGCGAGTGAAATAAAAACAAAATCAATAAAATTCATATTTTTACAAGTTAAATATAATTTGAAACGTAATTAAGGTAACTGGTATTTTCTGTTTATTGTTCATTTTTTTAAAAAAGCTATTTGATAAAGAACCATAATAATATACTATTTTATGAAAAAAAAAATTCAGATTTTGTCAGTCATTCAAAAAACAATAAAGACTTTATGCATAAAAACTTGCCTCTAGCTTTGTTTTTCAGTCGGGTTGGAGATCCGTATTTAGGGAGGATGACCAGTGGGTACGGATTGACCACCTCCTCCCGTTCATCTGACTCTTTCTCAAGGTCACACAGTGTACTCAAGGGCGTGTCAGGCTCTGCTAAAATATCAAATCAAAATTCTGTTTGAATTTTAACTAAAATACATAGAACACAGATACTGTAAGTAAAGTTGAACTTACGTATAATTCTTTGTCCATACTTTGAAAGTTTCGCTGAAAACGATAACTTTCTAACAAACATTTTGTTGTATGTATTCCTTAAAACTGCTTTAAGATATAAATACTGTAGTATGTCCTGTTTTAACTAAGTTCACAATCGGACATAAGCCATTATAAAGGATTCTCCCATATACATTTTTAATGAAGACAGGGGCAGCAAGTGCGTCTGTGTACTTTCTGGCAAAAATAAGTGTGATGTTTCCCTAGACTCCAAGACTAATTGTTGATAGAAATTTGTATCCATTTGTCTGCAAATTTATTTAATTCATATATGATACATGCACTGTCAAATGTGTCTACTGAAGCATCTAATAAGACGCATTTCGGCAAATCCTTAGTCATTTAATAAATATAATTTGAATTTTTAAAAAAAAGTCCCTTACTGTAAAGTGTAGAGTCTTCCAATTCGTCGTGCATTGTCTCTTGTTCCTGTTGCAAGCGGAGTAATATCTGCTTAATTTCATTTTCATCTCTCGAATGTTGACGAACAAAATAACTTCTCTGTTTTTCAATAATTTTCTGTCTCTTTTCGCACTCTAGTTTTTCCACACTATTTCTGATGGTCATTTCTCTCATGTTATGAGCCTCTAAAGGGGCATTAGGCTTAGGAATTTGGTGATCCATACCTTGCATCATTAAATATCACATAAAACCTCCACTCTTATATGCACCATGCAGTCTTGGCAATTGTTATATGTCAAGTTTTAATTTCATGCCCATTAGAAATCATTGATAATTTATCTCGAGAATAATAAATTGAACGTTATTTTTTCTTAAATATATATGTTTTCCCCTGACACTGTCTCGGGTATCCAAATTGAGACTCTTTGTTCATTTATAAACCTAAGTATTTCTGTATTAGATCTACATTCATCATACGATGACAAACAAAGGTTTGTTTCATTGTAAATGTAGGTTATTTATGAGGTTCTCCTTTTTTAACGGTATTAACCTTGAAAATTACAGGCTGTTTCTATACTCGAATTTCAATTTTACTGATATTTTATGAAATTAATTTGTGATCATGGGCAGATAGTCCTCAAATAATTGGCACAAATACACAAGATTGAAACTCAACATGCATTGTCATGAGCCGAAACACACAGGTAAATTAAATTTCCTATGAACAAAGAACCGACTTGAAAAAGAATTCAATGTCTATCCGAGTTACACATTCGGTATTTCGATTACTCTTTTTGAAACAAATTCCACAGATTTTGACGTTTTCAGCAATTCTAAAGCTGCAGATGAAATAATGATTTCACATATGTTCTCAGAGCATTAGACAGCCTTCAAAATTCACCTCAAATCCAAAACATCTGATTTCCTTGCACAAGATTCAAAATAATTTGAATTCTGCTTCAGGAACAACATTGATTTACTTCTTCACAACAAAAACTGTTCTTGCTCTCTTGGTTTCACATTTCACCTTCACTTGTTCTCTGTAATTTGCCCCGTTCGGCAGTACTCGGGAAAGTGAAGTAGTTTCTGTCAACATTAAATGTCTTTATAGCATTCTCATTGATGAGGTAATTTCAACTGCTATAACACCCGTATACAGTGCATCAATAAAAGGTTAATACCTATGTTCCATATCTGATGCTTATTCGAATATATTTATCCGGCTTTAAATCCGAAATCCCTAAACACCATTGTAAAACTCACTACTTCAAAATTTGAAAAATTCCTCTTTCCTCTTTCAAATGCAGCAATTTAGTATGAGATGAAAAACAGGACCAATGTTTAGGCAAACATATTAAATGTGTATCGGCAAATAGAACCATATTAAGAAACATTGATACGAAGAAACTTATGAATGTTATGAATATGTATATGAACATTAAATTCCTATCAATAAAACTTAGAGAGCCATGATATAATGATAAAGTGACATTTAAATACTGTTATATTAAATTTGAAAATTGACACACATTGTTCAGACATAAAGAAGAAAGTGGCAATTGTGTATCTAAAACACCTAGTCTCCCTCCCCAAAGGACCCTTGTTCAAAGGAGGAGTTCGTACCGAGTTTGACCCCAATACACCTTGCTTGGTAAGGTCAAAACTTAATATTCTTACTCTGTGAAAATTGCTTCTCCAAAATACATAGCCAAAACTATCAATATTAACTAAACACTGATTTTTATTGCTGATGTCAAAACGTTAAATTAATTACTAAAACTGTATAAAGCAGTGTTTTAATTGGTTTGCTATTTTCTCTATATTCCGTTGGGGAGCTATAGGTACTCGATTCAAATATTCACAAAATGGCATGTTGAACTTATCAATAACATTTTTTAAAAACATTCTCACAGAAACTCTTACTATTTATATAAAAAAAAAACGAGCTACAGAAATTACAATGGGTCAACATAAAGCAAATTATCAATTTACTAAAAGTGATTAGACATTCACTTTTAAATTTTTGAACGAACATGCACGTACGCGGGAGAAGGTGTTGAAAATCTTCTCTTGCTTTTTTTTGAGTGATTGATTTTATAATTTTATATTAAAATTCTGGGTTGAGACTAATTTATTTCAACTACATTTATATATTTTAAGATTTCATTTTATAATTTTTGAGTGAAATCATTCATATTTTCATTTTGAAATGTCAGTCGTCTTTTTTAAACTTTTAGTCAAAAGATTCTCGGTATGATGGAATCATTGATAACAGAAGAAAAATTCTGTTCAGAAGGAAAAGAGATAAATGAAATATATACATGTATGGAGATAACTAACAGTATTCAAGCTCAAAAAGTCCAGTAATCAATACAATTCCTTGGAGTAGAGCAAACACAGATCTCCAAAACGTCAGAGGTGGGATAAGGTGCCATGGAGGAGTGAGCATCCCCTGCAGACCGTTCAAACCCGCCGTGTGCTCCTTGACATCATCGTAAAATAACGGAAAATCCGTCGATGTTTCATTATGTAAAAAATGGACAAACAATTATTATGAAAAACTTCAGTCAGCATTTGACTTATTCGATAAATTGTTTTAGCTGACAAGGTCATTGTATTGACACTTACGAAATGACTTCAAACGAGACTGCTGATATTCTTATTTCGTCAACTTACCTGCCAATGACCTACTTCGTTTAGAAATTTTTCATACATAGAGCATGTTCTTGCGTATCGAATCATAAGTACCATATACAGGTGACAAAGGTATATTGCTGCATAAGTAAGAGAAGTTGGCGATTGAAAAGACAAAGGAATCACGTTTATCATATAGTTTGGTTGTTAGATTACCATTAACGTTTTTTTTTCAAGTAAAATACCGGTATCCAAATATGAAACAGACCAGTCAGTCTCTATGGTATTTTTTTTTTATTTCAAGTTCACTTGGATATATTGTATCGACATGAAGATGGAAATGACCATTGTTTATTTGAAAGCTATGTCCTGATATAGTTTATTAAGTGATCCCTTGGTTTCACCAACATAGAGGCTCTGTCCACTATGATTACTAGTGAAGTGTTAGTTATCAAAGTATCACAGGTTTTACGGTATTTCGAAGAATATTTTGAAAAGAAAACAATGGATCGGAAAAGGAATCTTCAAATATATCTTTTTTTGTATGGACTATTGGTTCTGTACCAAAACTAGGAACCTGAACCTGATACATGTGTATGTTAAATATACCTGAGGATTATCCGAGGGGCACCGAATGAACACTTTGAGTATGTGTCTCTTATAAACTAAAGAGTAAAGAGTGACACTTTTTATTCTGGGCCTGCCAGTATCATTTCATTTTTCTGTAGACTCATGCATGAATAGGTACAGAACGACAAGTATCCTCGGGGACAGACTGTCGACCAGCAGAGAAACATGTTCGATGATTAAAATGAAACAGATGAGATATTCAGAGAAGAGTAAAGGGGTTGTCTCGTTCCCTCTGTTCTTGTAAATATTATAAATTGGAAGGCGTTTTAGAGATTGTTAGGTCTTTCCACCTTTCTGTGGAAAGACCTATTGTATAATTCCTTCTGTTAAACTCTTTGCTTTTAACTATTTAACAGAGTTTTTTACCTTTTTATTATTTTTCTGCCGTGTGATTTTTTGTTTCAAGATTTATTTTGAAAAGATTTATAGTCTAATATTAATTATAAAAATTGATTATTGTAAAAGATGTTGTTGCAGTTGACCCTGCTTGACCTAATGTGATAAATATGTTTAAACAAAGACATAGTACCGCTACAGTTCGAAAGTTATTGCCCTTTCACAAGAAATGCTTGTTATCGCTACTCCTCACTCAGTTGAAAAAGGAGTAAACCGCAGAGGTATGAAACCTTTACGAATGTCTTCGACTAATTATGGGATAACTTTTAATTCAATCTAATTCCTTGCAAGTAATTAGTGAAAGTATCGGTGACCCCTTCAATTAAGAAAATAAAAATGCCTTTTAAAACTTTTTGAATTTTACAAATAATTAAAAAAATTCAAAACAAGAAGTCATAGAGACATGGGACCAACTGCATAAGATTCATTGACCTTTAACCTTAAAATTCATGTAAAGGTCAAAGGTCAAGGTCATTCCAAAAATGAGAAAATTAGCTTTTTTGTATCTCTTTTAACACTTTCAACATATACTTAATGTCAATTTTCATTAATATGTACTATTAAAACTGTTTCAAAGATTTCATTCTTGTCCCCTATTTTTATAAAACCTTTTAAAAGTTATTGCCCCTTGTGCGAAAAACCTTGTTATTCATACTCCTCCAGATAACTGTAAATGGAGATGTATCCTTCCTACACCAAACCTTATTGCACTAATATCTTAAGGGTCTTTAGACCTAACTTCACTGTATAAGTGCAAAGAATCTGATGACCCCTTATATGAGTTATTGCCCTTTAACTTCTTTATACTTACTATTAAACCTTATTATTATTATTGAAAACTATAAATGGTATCTCAGCGTACAGGGGTCAATTGCATTGTGACCCTTAATACTTTGACCTTGAATATTTTGTCACGATCAAAGGTCAAGGTCATTCCAAAAATTAGAAATTAAGCTCTTTTTATATCTCTTTTGTCTTTTAACATATGCAAACAGTCTCTGCATCATTAATATGTACTCTTAAAACTATTTCAAAGATTTCATATTTGTTCCCCAAGATTGACCCTATCAAAAGTCATTGCCCCTTATGCGAAAAACATTGTTATCGCTACAACTTCAAAACTGTAGACCGTAGAGGCATGAACTCTTCACTAACGTCTTAAGGGTCTTTAGGCACATCTTCATTGTATAAGTACAAAAGGATTTAATGACCCTTTATATGTTATTGCCCTTTAACTTCTTTGCACTTGTTATTTAAACTTATAACTACAGAACTAAAAGTCTTAGAGGCATGGGGTCAATTGCAATGTGACCCTTCCCCTTTTTTCTTGAAGATCTGATCAAGGTCAAAGGTCAAGGTCATTTCAAAAAAATTTTCTTTTTTTTAAATTTTCATTTTCTTTTTTTAAGCCATTTCCCTTAAAATTAAATTGGAGAGTTAAATATAAAACTATAAGAAATTTAAAAAGGTGGAAAGACCTACATTGTTCTGTGAACAATAAGTCTCCTAGTTTATTATCATAATTGTTCATTAGTATTAGTATCTCTGTGAGTGCACCTGTTGAAAAAAAAATTTGAGCAGGAACAATTGTATAAATTTGTCTCCCTATCTCTGTAAACTCTTTGCACTATATTTAACTATTTAACAGAGTAATATTTTACCTGGAAAACTGAATCTAATTTGGGAATTCCATCAGGGTTTAGAGGGTAAAGCCTACTCTACAAGGCCAACTGGAACTAATATTTTTTCAAAAGTATTCCTGTTAAAATTTTGTGCCTACCTAGTCACAAAAAAATGCATGAAGATAAACTGTTCATAATATTAATTATAAATAAATTGATTATTGCTAAATGCAGGAATGCACTGTGTTGACGTAGATTCATCGTGAACGGACTAGGAGGCGAGGTAGTACTTGACCTAATGTGATAAATATGTTTAAACAAAGACATAGTAAAATTATCTTTCTAACCAAATACAGTGTCTCTGTTAAAGTCAGCAATTGTAGCGTATTAAACAATTTAGTGCAGATAATATTGGGTTTTAATGTGGCATACATGCTACAGACTCACTATTCAAAAAAGAGGATTTTTGATGGAATGCTTTGAAAAAAACCTCATAATTGAGTATATATTGACAAGATCACAAGAAATTCTTTGAACAAAAGAACAAAAGTTCTCAAATTCTTTCACTGGATAACTTTAATAATTCAGATACAAAGTTAATGTCGTATTGCAAGTAATTAGTGAAAGTATTGCTTGGGAACTTCTACGGTACACCCCTCCCCCATATTAAGAAAATAAAAATGTCTTTTATTTCAACTATTTGACTAGATATTTACAAAAATAAAAAATGAAACAACTAGAGATCTTATGAGCGTTATGCTCACAGTCTAGATGGTATTCTCAGCTCTAAAATGAGTAAAACGACAATGGCATCTTCTGTCATACAGATCTGTGTAAAAGAAGCGTAAAAAAGAGGTCACAATATCACTAAATGTAATAAAATTCAATGTAATTATACCCCCCGCTTGAAAAGCGGGAAAATCATGAAATCACGCGCATGCACGTCTGTCCGTGCTGTCCGTCTGATTGGCTTAAACTTGGAAATCCGGTCTGTTACGCTTTTTTTTCCGCAACTCCTCTTATACTACTGAGTGAAATTTAATGAAACTTTCACAGAATCTTTATTACATATATTGTGCACCTCCTATTTTACTTTTTTATTCGACACGTATTTAGTTTCCCAGAGCAAAACATGGACCTTGCCATTTTTTGTTTACCTATGACGTCACATAATAGAAGCTTCTGGATAACATTTCATAGGACGAGTTATTCCTCTTTACACATTACCGTAAAACAATATAAAGCAACACATCGACATTATGGGAGGCGGGGGGTATTATATAGTGAGCTCATTGCTCACAGTACCTCTAGTTTTCATTAAATTTTATTCAACGGAGGGCCTATATGACAATTTACGAAAAAGAGATGGTTTACAACCCAATTTTTATGAAAAGTAAATAAAAATAGCCTCTTCCTAAAAATGTTCATTGAAATTCATGACATCATTACAGATATCGACAGAAGTAAATGGAATGTATGTATCTCTTCCCCTTAAAAAAGAAAAGGGCAACACTAGATATTGCAGCTAGTTTATTTTTTTACGTTTGGACAGTTAGTTTACTCTTATAAAATGTACAAACTTTCCAGACTCAGATTAAACTCGTAAAACATGTACAACCTTTTACCTCAACCATTAAAATAATTTTTACAATTGGATATCCAGTGCATGTATATAACTTCCTTCCTGAAAAGACATGTGATATTCATGACAGGAATGGAGTCTCGTAGGTGAAGCCCTGTAAAGATGTGTATAGTCTGGGCTGCCGCCATATCACTGGGGGAACAATACACAATTAACAATAGACGTCAGGTAATTATTCTTTTATTCTTTGAATATGTATGTAGAATGCAGTAAAGAATACAAGACAAATTCACCAGCAGATAAATCATTAAAATGCTCAACAAAATTAACAAGTTAATTTCTGCATGTGCATTAATGATGTTTTTTATTCATCATTTCAGTCAATATACATCTTGAAAAGAAGTAATTATTCTTGATGGAAAAAAAGTCATCGAAAATAACCAGGTTGTTGAATATGCAAATTAATTAGAATGCAAAAAAAGGAAGAAGAGGACCAAAGATTGGGTGAACTATACACAACAGCAAAAGCTGAAATTGAAGGCGAATTATGGACTCCAAAGTTCACTGATTCACCACTTGAAGAATCCACTTTCGGTTTGTACAACATATTGTTTATACTTTAACAATAACGACTTGTTCAGAGTAGACACATTTTTTGCTAGTGAAGGACAAAGTTCACAAACCCGACGGATAAGGCAAATCTAAATAAATGTAACATTATTTTATACTGAGTATATTGTAATATCAACGAAGTAAAACATCTGTTCATGAATATAAAAATGTGCGCAACAGTTGTACAATTTTGGCTGTGCAAATTCTATAATCTTTATATACCGGTACATGTCCTTAGTCTTTGAGATATCAATTTTTTTCAATTGATTTTTTTTCTGTCACACATACGAGGGCTGTTCAATAAATAATGTCCTGAGCTCCATGATATACAACAAAGCAATCATATGACATTAAACTTGACTTTCTCTTATGACTGAATCTTTAAAGAATTGATTACTGTTTATGTGACCACTTTTCATCACATAATTTCAATTTGAGAAGCTGGAAAACAAGGGCTATTCGATACACTGCAATAAAAATGAATGGTAAAGAACCAGTTAAGTAGAGTGAAATAAGACGCTTCATCAAAGCTGCAGAAAAACTAGTTAAGAATCCCAAAGAAATATTCACTGAAATATGTGAAATTTACAGCAACCAATATCTAATTTATAGACAAATGAGTAGGTGGATTTCAATGAACAAAAATTATATAATAGGCATCAAAAATGGGTACCGTCCTTGTCGACAAAGACTCACAACAACCAATTTACTGTTTGCCAAAATTCAACAAATTATCACTGATGATGTTTGATTGACTTTAAGACACATAGCAAAATTGATAAGCATCATTTTGGGGTAGGTTATACTGTTTTAAAGAAACATTTGACAGTAAAAAAGCTTAGTACTCAATGGTCATCCTATGTTTTGAAAAATGAGTGAAAACGACAGTGTGTAAGAATAAATAAATAATTATTTTAAAAATCAAAACGTGTACTTATCCACGTTTGTCTGAAATTCAAATGGATAATGAAACTTGAATTCAAACCCTCAAAACAAATACACAATAAGATGCACTTGACAAAAACAGCCAAGGTTTGAAAAGAACAAAGGATTGCAAAAGCACAAAAACATTTCATACATCATTTTCTTGAATATCAGTGGTCTTGTTGTTCAAATTCTTATTCGGGGAGGCAGTTCAATTTTTGGAGAAGTATAAAATGCAAGTTTTTGCAAAAAATCGAAAGGTTTATGAAAGGATGGAACCAGAAACATGAATCCACTACATTAAATGTCTTCATGACATCGTCCAAACCGACACGCCATGAAGAGTAAAGGGATTTAGGGGATAAATTAATAGTTAATGTTTTGTCACACCAACGATATTCGCCAGATCTTTCAACCTAGCTTTGACTTGTTTCATTTTCCAAACTAGGAAAAAAAACAGCTTTCAGAAAGAAGAATTAAGTCAAGGAAACCATAGAATCTGCCATATTTCAGTATACACTGTACGACGGGCCATACTTAAAAATGTGTTCTAAAAAATCTGAAATTGGATAAAAATGTAACGAACATGTGTTTTAATTAAAAAATGAATATTGTTCAGTGAAATCATAAAGACTTAATCATTGAAAAGCGTTTTTTGTTTCTTTCCCGAGCACCGAGAACATTATTTATTGAACAGCCCTCGTAAACTGTATGCTTTAGTGGCTTATATCGCAAATGTCAACAGTTTAATCAATCAATAATTAACAAGTTTCGAAGGCTCTACCTAAGGAATACATGTATCTATTATTTGACTTTAACTATGTACTATGTATATAACAACTTTTTTGATTATAAAATACAGTGGACAGTACACTAGAGGATGAAGATGTAGAGCGAGGCTCGGACATAGTGGACATAACTCTAAAGACCAGTTCTGTGCCAGACAGTGACTCGATTTCACAGCTCAGCGCATCGCTTACAGATTCTGCTTCAGGTACTGCATGATCTACCTTGATCCTGGCAAAAGTTGAGCTGGAATTGTCCCGATATTATATTTTTAATGAATTCATGTTATTGATTGATTTGAATAAAGCGTTATAGAACAGATTTTTAGAGATACATATGAATTCACAGCGTCTCCAGAGAATGTTATCGATATAAACAAAAGCTAGAACTTTTATTACGAATACAAAAGTTCCATTATTGCAAGTTAAAGTTACAAAGATTCAAGATATTATGGAACATAAATTTCTATTGCATTTTTCAGAATCTTTTAAAACAGGCAAAGAAACATTTTTTTGTTTGTTTTTTCAGATTTTGAGGTGTCTTTGGAGTATCCGCAAGCTCAGTTCGCACTGACTTGCGCCGTTTGTGATTCTCCATCAGAGCTTTTCTGTGACGTTTGTAAGGTGCGTATTTGCAAACTCTGTGTCACCGAACATCTCAAGAATAAATCGACAAAACACAATGTGGTCGCTTACAACGAAAGATCTGGATGTAAGCCTTATTGCCATAAGCACCAAAGTACAGAGAGTACATACCGCTGCAATAAATGTGCAGTGTGCATCTGCAACGATTGCAGCAATATGTTTCATATGCTACATGAAAAAGTTCTTATAGAAGAACTACTGGAGAGTCAGACTACAAAACTGTTACAGACTTCGATCGAGTTGAAATCTGTGTTAAAACCTGCTTATCTTCAAAAGATAGACAATGTTAAATTAAAATTAAGCAATGCAGTAAAATTGTATGATGCCATCGATAAAGATATTTCCTTATGCGGCGAGAAATTACATAGAGAAGTTGACTTCGCCATGGAGTCTTTGAAGTCTGAGGCAAGAAAATATAAACACGATCATCTTACTGAACTTGAGCACGAGATCTTAATTTTGGAAACCAGATTGAAGAATGTTGACGAAGCTCTGAAGAAATGTGAACAAGTTTTGACAACTCCTAGGGAATTAGCAGAGTATTGTCCAAACATAAAACCCCTAAAGACAATACCTGAAATGACAAATTTTGAAATGCCTATTTTCACACCTGGCAAGGCAAATATTACCAAATCAGATGTTGGTCATTTGTCCAGTTTAGTAAAATCAACATGTCCATCTGCAGAAATCAAAGGAAAATCTCCGAAGAAATCCAAGAAACTAAAGAGAAAACCTACCCTTGAAGTTTCAATTGCTGTGGGGGAGAGGTATGTGTACGACGTTGCCTGTGCTTCAGAATCTTCTGTATGGATGTGTGGAGCAGGTCTCATTTACTACGACAACAACGTACGGCTGCTGGAGAAAGACGGGAATAACACAGAGACTTTAGAATGTCCGATGAATCCAAAATATGTTGCCTTGAAGTCACCAACGTGTGTTCTATTTAGTGACCATACTGACAACACTGTCAAACTCTGGTCACGAGAAGTACAGAAGGTTTTGATCACGACCGAGGACTGGACCCCAAAAGGACTGGTGGTCACGTTATCTAATGACGTCATCGTCTGCCAATATAAGAAAACTGAGGCGGCTGTGTCAACTGCAGCGTTGTCAAGAGTCGTGAGATACGATGACAAAGGCTCGGTGATTCGAAAAATGGAATTCAATGGAGATAAACGAATATTTCGAAATGCTATCTTCATTGCAGAAAACAGAAACTTTGATATTTGTGTATCTGATGAAGAAAAACATTCTGTTGTCGTTATGGACAAACTGGGCAAAATGCAGTTTGTCTACAAAGGCAACATCAAATCAGGCAAGTATCAAAGTTTTAACCCAAGGGGCATCAGCACGGACAGTCAATGCAATATCCTGGTTTCGGACTATTTGAACTATACGATCCACGTCATTGATCAGCAAGGGAAGTTCCTTAGCTACTTGCTGAGAAGGGAAGTGAAGTTTCCATTGGGTCTCTCTGTCGACAAAAACGATAAAGTTTGGGTTGGCGAATATTCAAATGGAACAATAAGTGTCATCGAATATTTGTCGTAGAGAAGCTCGAGTGGACTTTTTTTTTTGAAAATATAAAGAGAACTCTCTTCAAGCATGAAAAAGATTACAGTTCAATATCTAATTCAATAATTGTAATAAATATTACGGTTTATAAATATATGTTTGAGCTCCGTTTTAAAGTAAAGAAAGATTTCAGAAGAAAGTAAAAAATGTCAGGAACTCTTGGTGAAGAGGAGGAAACCCTATAATGTTATGGAACTTGTGTAACAAACGCATCCTATAAACTCCATATGAATGGAATACTACAAAATACTGGAGACTGAATACAAAGAACCCCTCATTCATATTTTGTATATGAAAAGTATAAAATTATATGTGCTCTATATATGAAATAAAAACACATTCTATTGCAAAATTATTTGATTTATGGATCTTTTAGAGCAAATTAGCGAATATCTATTGATAGCAAAGATTGTGATAAAGGACTATAATTATGTTAAATAATCACTTATAACAAAAAGTTGATAAAACGAGTAAACAAGCGAATATCAATTGATAGCAAAATTTTTGATTAAGGGGTACTGAGTATACATGTAAAATATGTTTAATACTAGTAATCACATAATATAATGACAAAAAATCTTTTAAAACAAGGGGAAGAAGGTATCTGGTAAATAAAATGACATTGTGTGCAAATACACCCTATTATTGAGTTAAATGTTGACTGACTTTTTTTCATACTAATGTTAGTTTTTTCAAGATTATTCCGTCGTTCCGATTATGTCAAGGAGCACACAACGGATATGACCGGTCAGCAGGGGATGCTCACTCCTCCATGGCACCTTATCCTACCCCTGATTTTCTGGAGGTCCGTATTTTCTCTGCTCCTATTTTGTATTGTTTTATGGACTTTTGATCTTGAATAGTGTTCGTTATCTCCATATGTTTCATTACACACTAAATTGTCCAGGGTTTTTTCCTGATCATGACAAAGAGCACTGGATAGGTGTGACCGGGACACCGGTCGTCAGGGGATGCTCACTCCTCCAAACTCTGTTTTGGAGGTCCGTGTTTGCTCTGCTGCTGATTTGTATAGTTTGAATGGACTTTTGAGCTTTAACACTTTTCGTCATCTCCATATATTTCACAGCAAATTGCTTAAGACTTATGTATTCTTTATTTAACGTAGGAATCCATATTTTTGGTGTTTGCACCTCCACCCCCAAAAAGAAGCAAATAAACCAAACGCACCAAAAATAAAAATAATCGTTAATATGTAAACAGCTTTGGATAAATTTTATAGAAGAAATGGACATCGTATGATAAATTTAAAAAAATGGGAAAAGTCTTAATCTTATAACTTTTTTGGTTAACTTTAATTATATATAAAGTTAAATTTCCACGATTTTCAAGAATCTCACAAGTATTGAATTTATTTTTATTAATATGAACTAGCATCTTCACACCTAAGTAGGACAAAAAGGACCATTTATTTATACTTTACTAGCTAGTTGATCAAGATGGGTTTATCAAAGCCCTTTTTGTTTTTTGGAAATTTTATATTTAACGCATGAATTAAATTATGATCTTCATTTTCAATTTACAAAAATTGGATCAAAGTACGTTAAATTACCTTTTATTACTAAGATTCATATCTTCTGTTTTGAAAAATAGTGTTTCAACGGATTTTTAAAAATGTTACTTCCTGTTATGAGTTGTGAAGTATAGTGATTAAAGTATGTGGCAGTCTATAATAAAATTTTGTTTTGTATGTGCTGATTATCGTTTTAAGCTAAAAATTATATTAAAATATATCTAACTATCCATGGAATTACTTTGAAAAGTCACTATGTTTGTTTTATTTGAATATAATTTATATATAACTGTTGTTTATTTTCCGAGTTTCTTAGATTTCACAAAAAATTAAGTAACATGAAGGTGAGAATAACAAGTGATTTAAACTTACATTACAGAGGTGTGACTAGAGGGAGCAATCATCCCTTGTTGACTTGTCACACCTGCTGTGAGCGTTTTGTTTTAATGAAGTATACGGAATATTCCTCGGTCAAATTTAGTTTAAAATTAAAACAAAGGCCTAACTAATGGTATGAAACAGGTTAGCCAAATAAATGTACGATCTAATAAAGGGTTATATTTTCTCAGGAGGTCATTATAATAACGACCGTAGAATTTACGCTAATTTTAAACTAGGTTATACAAACTCCTGTAACATCAACTTTTATGTGAGTAGCCTGTCTGGCTTTATAAAATGAACTTACTCAGAGCATGTTCATGAGAAGCAAATAAGTTCGGGAACATAAACATCATATGCACCTGATAGGGGAATATTACTACATAAACAAGGACAATTGTCGATGAAAAACCCGAAGTGATTCCATTTTATCTATGATAGCTGTTAGTTGGCCTTTGGGGTCTATAGTCTGTAAAATTCCAAATATCAAACAGATATGGCAGGCGGTTTGGTGTGTCTTATTGAAATCTCACTGTTTTTTCGGGATTGGCTCCTTGCGTTTTAAAAATTCTTTCTGAAACACTGATAGACACATTTAAAACTGTGACTATCGTTTGATTATCGTTGTTTGATGTTGAGTCGACAAAATTTCAGCCACTATGTGAAGGAAAGATTATGATCGAATAACTTTCACATTTAATCATGTGACTTTTTTGCACTCATATAATTATTTTTCCTGGCACCAGAAATGACACAAAATTCTATGAAAATCATAAGCATTAAAACTGAGGACTTTACAACGCTCTATATAACCGTTTCCAAAGTTAAATTAAATTACAGGTATTCATCATTGACATCTGCTTTTTCAATAAAAATGGAACTCGTGAACCAACTTATCTTGTCATAAGTTATAATATTGTTTTGTTTAAATTTTTAAAAACATTTTGATTGTACACAAAAGTAATCTGAATTTGGCATTAAATGATGCTTAAGTTATATCTAGGTGTTTTGGGGAGACCAGAACATACATCAGAGGTGGGATCAAGTGCCATGGAGGAGTGAGCATCCCCTGCCGAGCGGTCACACCCGCCGTGTGCTCCCCAGCCAGGTTTGTGATGAGAATAGGTAGAAATTACTTGTGGAAGGTTGTATGACCTGTTGAGTAGACATGAAGTTCCAAAAAAAATTTGACGAGTTTGAAGTTTTCAGTTCCATAATTGTATATATCATAAGGTTTTACCTTAACATGTATTTTTACCCAAGTATGCTAATGAGAATCTTAACGCTAACAGACACCCAGCTGTATCCGATACTGAATGAACCACACAACTTATACCATTACCTGACATAAGTAGGTTCTGTTTTAAATGTAAAATTTCTTCCTTCTTTTGCACAAGGTCATTGCATTCATTTGGTTTTAGATTTAAGTATTATTGTTATTTGGCCTAATGGGCAAACACAGAATACATACCTGTTACATGTATAATTATTAACATAATACATTTAAATGAGATTGCTTATTATTCATAAAATTTACACTGAAGACAGTTTTCTTGTTTCATCAACTTATATATAATGTTTGTCAATATTTTATCTATTTTCGTTTTAAAAATTGTTATATCAACTTGTTTGTCAATATTTTATCTCAACAGCATTTGAATGATATACCGTACGTATTTTCTGACAAGGTCATTGCATCGAAGGAAATGATTACTTTGATTTGATATTCTTGTTTCATCCACAGAACTTGCGAAATGATGACATAGAAATTGTTCATACATAACCATACTCTTGCGTATCGAATCAACTGAGAGATATAAATCTCGGAAGAAGGTGAAAAGGGTATATTGCTACATAAGTAACGGAATTTGATGAGTGAATCTTAAAAGTGAAAGTTATCACTTTAATCTTTTTGTTAGGTAACTATTAACGTCTTTTTCTACTAAAATATCCATGTATAAAACAGATGAGTTTGACTTTGTGGTATCTTTCATTTCACTCAGCTCTGGATACCAGTATACCAATCTAGGCATTCATTCTGAATTTGTATCATCTGTCCTTAATATTTCTTTTGATATTATACTGAAAAAAAGTATTTCCAGGTGGTTTTTTGTACATTATTAAACAAACCTACAACTTTTTAAGTCATCCATAAATTCATACAAGAAAATAAAATTTAAATTTTGACTAAAGTTTATTTTGAGTGTTTGGTCCTAGGATCACTTTAATGCTGATACTTCCTGTCTTTATTTATCACAGCTAATTTGTATCCACCTCAATCACAAAAAGCCTTTGCTATAAGCCCCCCCCCCCTACATCCTTTTTTTTCATCACAGTTGAGTTTTTTGCTTCATAGTGATATTCCCATCGCACCTCTGTACATCTGTTCAATTATGACGTCGGTGAATTGTAGCAAGCATGGTTGTCTTTCTTTCTCTCGATGCTACGAAAGAAATTGGATCTCATATACTTTGTGCAGTTGAGTGATCTGTTCTTATAGCATGTACGATCTACTTTACATTACTCTGACTCAATTTGCAATCAATCCAAAAAATTCTTAACATTCTGCTAGACTAGACAACTTCAGTAAAACTCTTGACTTGCATGCATACAACCTACAATGACTTCTGTTTCTCAATATTTCACATTATTTGATGTGTTTCTATGGCTAAGATGAACAAATAATACCAGACAAAGGTCTTCATTGTTCTTTACTTGCATCTTTTCTGTATATCTTGTGTTTTATCATTCTTTTCATAATTACCTTTCATTCATCTTAAATGATGTCAGTAGAATATCATTACTTGGTAAAACCTTGATAGATTGATGTATAAGTGGGTTCTATAAACATTCGCAGGTGTATGAGGTTCCTTAGAACTGTCTCATTCTGTGTCTAGAAAACGTCTAAATCCTGAATGGAGCAATAATATTGCCCGTTTTGTTCTATGGTACATGCGTCTTATCTTGTAAGCGTTTTATGCCTGCATATAGGAAGAGCAGCTTCTTTAAGGACGAAACTTCGTTGAACTCCATGTTGATGGACAATATGAAAACTATCTATCCTTCTGAATC